AGAAAGAAAGAGGGAGGGAGGGAGGGAAGGAAGAAGGAAGGAAGAAGAAGGAAAGAGGAAGGAAAGAAAAGAAGAAAGAAAGAGGAGGGAGGGAAGGAGAGAGGAGAGAAAGAAAAGAAAGGAAAGGAGGAAAAGAAAGAAAGAGGGAGGGAGGGAGGGAAGGAAGGAAGAAGGAAGAGGAGAGAAAGAAAAGGAAGAAAGAGGAGGAGGGAGGGAAGGGAGAGAGAGGTGAGAAAGAAAGAAAGAAGAAAGGAGAAGAGAGAAAGAAAAGGAAGAAAGAAAGAAAGGGGAGTGGACAAGGAAGGAAGGAAAAAAGGAAGGAATGAAAGAAAAGAAAGAAAGAGGTGGGGAGGGAGGGAAAGGAGGAGGAGAGAGGAGAGAAGGGAAGAAGAAAGATAAAGGAGGAGAGAAAGAAAGGAAAGAAAGAAAGAAAGAAAGAAAGAAAGAAAGAAGAGAGGAAGAGGAGAGAAAGAAGGAATGAAGAAAAAACAGGAGGAGGAAGGTGGGAAAGGAAGAAGAAGAGGATGAAGAAAGAAAAGGCAAAGGAGAAAGAGGAGGACAAGAGAGAGAAAGAGGAAAAGGAGAAGACCTTGAGTATTTTGCATAGAATATAAATTAGAAGACGGACGGAAGGAAGGAAGGAAGGAAGAGGAAGGAAGGAAGGAAGGAAGGAAGGAAGGAAGGAAGGAAGGAAGGAGGAACAGAGAGGCAAAGGGGGGGAAGAAAAGAAGAAGTTAGAGGATGAAAGAGAGAAAGATCTCACAGGCAAACAGAAAGGAAGAGAAAGAGTGAAGTAATATATTTCTGGAGACGGTTCCTTCCAGATGTTTGGTGTCTACAGCTTCCACCATCCAAAACTCAAACTTGTGGAGGACACCATGACAAAAAGTTGATCAAAGGCATCTCTTTTTATCCTCACCACCTTGCTCAATGCTCACACTTGATATGAGCCAAGACTACGTATCTGTTGCTACACCATTCCTCTCCGATGATGTAGTTGGGACAAGCCCGGGCTAGAAGACTGTCTCCAAAGTACTGTGTTGGGGTACGTGTGTGTGTCTTGAGGAAGGAAGGGAGGTGGAGAGAACGTGAATCAATTCATTTCCTAAGTATAATTGTCTAATTTCCACCTTCTGCTCTACACCCCATTTGCCCTCCCTGGTGATTGCCTCCTTGCTCATCTCGATTACATCACAAAGTTCACCCTACAACTCTTGAGGAATGATATTGCTCCAAGAATAATAGTTGATTGCATGCACTCTATCACAACGATAGACCACACCAGAGCAAAGCAAGTCTATTTCGGGCAATTGGAAAGAGCAACGCTCGAGGGTAGATTCCCTGCTTTGCATACGGAAAGTCTGGCATTCCTTCTTCCATATCTCTGATTAAATATTTTGAGTGGTAAGTGATGTCATTCAGTTGCTTCAGAAACATAAACATAGGTGTGAATAGTTTTGGAAGGAATAATATAACATATAACAGCGCACTAGTGAACTACCAGGATGTGGAGAATGATAGAGGGGGGAGGGAGGGAGTTCTGGTGCTTGGGGGGCCCCCATCGAGGTGATGATGGGGAGGGGGAGATACGGGAAAGGGAGAGTTAAAAAACCAATTCGGCCAATTCGTGAGCAAACCTTAAGAAAAATTCCAAAATGTCCTCCCGACATGGTAAACTTGGGTACCAAGGTAGACGGTCCTCCCGGATTAAAGGTGGTGCTGTTGAACGCCAGGTCTGTCAATGGTAAAACATCAACCATTCAGGACTTAATCCTGGATGAAAAGGCAGACCTGGCGTGCATCACGGAGACCTGGTTGGACAAGGCTGGAGGAGTTAATCTCACCCAGCTTTGCCCACCAGGTTACGCCGTGCAACACCAACCAAGATCCGGGGGGCGGGGAGGCAGAGTTGCAATAGTCTATAAAGATTCCATTTCCTTGGTCAGGGGCCCAGCCTTACAGTCGACCTTGTTTGAATGTGTCCACCTGAGGCTAGAAGACCGGGACAGAATAGGGCTGTTGTTGGTGTACCGACCACCCCGCCGCACCTCGGCCGCCCTACCTGAGCTTGCAGAGTTGGTCTCGGGCCTGGCATTGGAGTCCCGGCGGCTTATAGTGCTGGGGGACTTCAATGTCCATGCAGAGACCACTCTTTCAGGAGTGGCTCAGGACTTCATGGCTGCCATGGCAACTATGGGGCTGTCCCAATTAATATCTGGCCCTACCCACTGTGCTGGACACACACTTGACTTGGTCTTCTGTCAGGGCTGGGAAGAAGGTGGCGGTGTGGAGGAGTTATCAATCTCCCCTTTGCCATGGACTGACCACCACCTGATCAAGTTTAGACTTGCTGCAACTTCTAACCTCCGCAGGGGTGGTGGACCCATTAAGATGGTCCGCCCCAGGAGGCTTATGGATCCAGAAGGACTCCTGATGGCTCTTGGGGATGTTTCCGCTGCCTTGGATGGTGATTCTGTCGATGCCCTGGTCGCTCACTGGAATAGGGAGTTGACTAGGGCAATAGACACGATTGCTCCGGAGCGCCCCCTCTTAAGTCGCCGAGCGAAACCGGCCCCTTGGTTCAACGAGGAGCTGGTGGAGCTAAAGCGAACAAAGAGGTGGCTAGAGAGCGTGTGGAGGAAAGAGCCCAGCGAGCCAAACCGAACACGCCTACGCCTTTATCTAAGGGCGTATGGCGCGGCAATAGAGGCCGCGCAAAATGCTTTCTACTCGGCCAATATTGCGTCCGCAAGGAACCGTCCGGCAGAGCTGTTCCGAGTAGTCAGAGGGTTGTTGAATCCCACCTTGAGTGGGTCCCCTGATGACTTGGCAGCACGCTGTGAAGCATTTGCTCAGTACTTTGCGGACAAAGTCGCTTTGATCCACGCGGGCTTTGACACCACATTAACTGCAGTCTCTGAGGATGTAACTCAAGCATCCCAACCCCCAGGTTGAGAAATGCTACTGTAAAGCAAACCTATCATGGTTTTCCGGAGAATGTAAGATTCACCCAAGATCTTTGGCAATGGCAGTTGTGTTATCTAGTGCCAATTCAGTCCCTGCTTTGTCATGCCTTATTGCCAAAGTGGTTCCATTGTTTCCTCATATTCTTTTTTTCCAGTGGGTGAGGTCCACTCACTGAAACTATTCCTCACAAGGAATCCCAGTCTTGCTCACTATTTCCCAAGAAGTGAGTCTCAATGGAAGTAGGAAGGCAAGGAAACCATATAAAAGTCCTCACTGTTCACTCTGATAGATACACACCTGAGCTCTTGACTGATACACATTGGTCTTTTTCGGGTAAGTTTGCAAAGAATTTCTATTTCATGCTTAGGACTGATGAAAATACTTAGAAGTGATTTTGGTAAAAGTAAGAATAGAACATATTTTTAGAATGTGTTGTATATAGAGATATGCAAATTTTCTATTGCTAATGGGAAAGCTTCAATTTTCAGGTTAGATATAATTTGAAATTAATTCTATACAAACATATGCAAGGTTGTAGTTGTCTTAGGAGACCAGGGTTCCAATTTTTGTTCAGGCATGAAAAGTTCCAGGCCCTCCAGGATGTCATATCTTCTCAGCTTCAGAAGAAAGCATGGAAAACCTTCTCTGAAGAAACTTTTCTATGAAAGCCTTTTGAGAGGGCAACCATAAAGTTCTGGAGCCTCCAAGATGTCATATCTTCTCAGCTTCAGAAGAAAGCATGGAAAACCTTCTCTGAAGGCACCTTTCTATGAAAGCCTTATGAGAGGGCAACCATGAAGTTCCAGGCCCTTCAGGATGTTAGATCTTCTCAGCTTCCAAAGAAAGCATGGGAAACCTTTTCTGAAGAAACCTTTCTGTGAAAGCCATACGAGAGGGCAACCATAAAGTTCCAGGCCCTCCAGGATGTCATATCTTCTCAGCTTCAGAAGAAAGCATGGAAACCCTTCTCTGAAGGAACCTTTCTATGAAAACCTTATGAGAGGGCAACCATTATATTACAGGACCTCCAGGATGTCATATCTTCTCAGCTTCAGAAGAAAGCATGGAAAACCTTCTTTGAAGAAACCTTGCTATGATAGGGCAACCATAAGTATGTTACACCAAGCAAGGTTCCTTCAGAGAAGGTTTTCCATGCTTTTTTTCTGAAGCTGAGAAGATATGTCATCCTGGAGGCCCCAGAACTTTTCATGAAGGCACTTTAAGGCACCTAACAATAACTACTGTTCTGCCTCTTGGTAGGTCCTAGAACGTGAAAGTCAACTCTTACCAACTCTAGACACATAAATAAAATAGGAAGACCAAGAAAGTCTTGTAGAAACTTAGAGATGAACCGAGCACAAAGCTGGCAGGATATGTTTCCATAGACTTGAGTCTACTTCCACGAATGTATGGAGTGAAGTGCTTGGTTATGGTGATGGGTCGACATGTCAATTTTCAGGATGGTTGGGTGACAAAGGCAGGTGGAAAGAAGTTACCAAAAGCCAAGATAAATAGATAGATTGCCAATGCCACATGAGTTGTTGAAACGTAGTGTGATGCTAGCTGGTAACCAGTAAGAGGATATGATAAACTGGCCAGGGTAGTGTGCCATTGTCACTGTTCAACCTGTCATGAACATCATTGGCTTCATGTAGGCCAAGGATGCGCCTCTGCTAAATTTGGAGTCAAGGTAAAATGTTAACTGAATCTGTATTGTTCTGAAAGAGATCTAGGTCATGAGAAAGTCACATTTGAAAGTCATATTTGCTTTGGACCTTCTTTGAAGGAACATTTCTGCTTTGTTCTTTCCAGCCTTTCCAAGCAGACAGAAATCACAATGTGCTCCCGCCGGGATAGAGATTGCCATAAACCACCTCAACAGGAGGCTCCATCATGCCACCGGGGTGGAAGTTCTTGCCACGAGGAGAAGGAGAGATCTTGCCACAACAGGGGAAGTTCTCCTGGCTGCGGTTCCAGGAAGCCAAGTTGTGACGTGAAGCCTGCCCCAAGCTGCCAAGGGGTGGTTGTCCCACCTCAATGCCAACAGCAAACCCCAGGGGTGGTTGTCCCACCTCTATGCCAAGACCAGCAACAGGTTAAGCAACCTACTAAGTGGCCTACACAGAACCAGAAGTAGAGAAGACCAGGACAAAAGAAGTGCCTTCAGTAGTTAGATTGAGATCCATGTGCTTTTTAGGTTGTCTATGGCTCTAAGAAACATATCTGGATGCCCTTTTGCCTTCTGATGAATCAAATGTCTTCTCTGTCTGGTAATGAGATGTAACACTGGTGTTCTTTGTGTCACCTGTTTACTACTTGACTTTTGTGTTGACAACAAAAATAATTAAACAATATGTCCAACTTGAGCTTTTTGGTGCATTGTCTCCTTCCATATTCAAGTTGTGGTTTTGAGGGCTCAACTAAACATCTCAAGAAGTGTGAAACTCTTCACTCATGTTCTTCTTGGTAGAAACAAGTTTTAAGAACTTGTTCTTTGTGTTTGAAATGTTGCAGTTTGGCCATGGGAACCCATTGAGTAGCTTTGAGTGAGTCCCACACTCTGAGAACCAGGAAACCCATGATAGGTTGCCTTCATGTCATCATGTTGGAAAGAACTTTAGAAATGTCCAATTTCAAGGTGTAGAAATGCCCAGGTAAGGTGTCCATCAAACCAGGACAAGCCTTCTCTGCACCTCACCATATTTCAACTTCCAGAATTTCATAGCAAGAAGCCATGGTGATCCAAGTGGTGTCAAACTACATTCATTCGACCACGTAAATGCACCCCAAGGATATTAACATCAAGTATTGTAAACTTGGAAAGGTCTACAGCCCAAAATGCCCATGAATGTTGCAATTTCATCCCACTGAAGGGTTAGCATGGAGATCAAAATTTCTCCTGATGTTTTGGGCTACAAATTCCAAAAAAATGCATTGACAACATAGCCCATGAAGAATATTGAGACTTTGATTTCCTGCTATCATAAGACACTTCACTTGGAAGACCATCATCCTCGAGCTACGAGGGATCAGCTAACTACCTAACATCATGTTTCTCAATTCCATTTACTTATTATAGTGGGGGAAACTTGCAATAATAGTTTTACAGACCTATCATGGAGTCGGAGGGGTCACCATATCCCATCACTCCCTTGCTTCATGCAGAAAATACAATTACATCTTCCCCAGCATGGAGTTGTCCTATCTTTTGGAGATGTCCACCAATGTTCTAGGTAACAGGTTCCACTGTCAATTATTTCCTACTAGCTTGGGGACCCGGCGGTGTCGGGGTTATTTAAGAAAGGCATTGGTTATCTTTGCTTCAAATTGAGTCTAGATCCAATGTCACCTGGTTCATTGGGTGCAGGTGGACTATAGCTCCCATATGCAAGTCCCATCATCTATGGTTCATCTTCCTCCAAACTGCACCAAGATGTAGAATGGATAATGGGGGCTCTGGGTGCGAAGTTTGGTCTTGATCAGTCATTGGATGAGGGTCAAAGTGGTCTCAGGAAGTGAGTGAAGGTACTGTGAGTCCCATCATACATGGTCCATCCTCCTCCAATCAGCACCTGGTTGTAAGGTGGGTCATAGGGGTTCTGTGTGACAAGTTTTGTCTTTATTGTTCATTGGGTGAGGATCACAGTGGTCTCAAGAAGTGGTTCATCCTCCCCCAAAACATGGGGGTTATATGTGCCAAGTTTTGTCCAGGTCTGTCGCTCGTTCAGGTCACAGTGGCCTGTGAAAATGGTAGCCAATCGGAAAGCTGCCACATACACCACCACATACAAACATTCACTTTTATTATATACTACTGTAGCTTGGGGACCTGTTGGTGTCCGGGTAATTTGAGAAAGACATTGTGTGTCAAGGTTGGCCTTTATCAGTAATTGGTGTGGATCACAATCAGTAATTGGTGTGGATCACATTGAGGCTCTGTGTGCCAAGTTTGGTCTTGATCAGTCATTGCATGAGGGTTGCAGCAGTCCTGGGAAGTGAGTGAAGGTACTTCAAGTCCCATCATCCATGGTCCATCCTCCTCGAAACTGCACCAGGATGTAGAGTGGGTCGTTGGGGCTCTGTGTGCCAAGGTTGATCTTTATTGGTCTTTGTTGGGGGCACAGTGGTCTGTGGGAACTGAAGGGTTTGAAAGTACTACAAATCCCATCATCCTTTGTCCGTCCTACCCCAAACCTCACCAGGACGTAAAGGGGGTCATGGGGGTTATATGTGCCAAGTTTGGTCCAGGTCCGCCACCCATGCTGGTCGCAGTAGTCTGTGATAGTGGCAACCAATCAGAAAAGCTGCCACATACATACCCACATACAAACATTCTCTTTTATCTATATAAATATAAATGTAATGTTCGTTTGTGGGATTAACAGAACTCAAAAACCACTGGACGAATTGACACCAAATTTGGACACAAGACACCTAACAACCCAATGTATGTCTTTCACTAAAAAAGATCAATTTTGTCATTTGGGAGTTGTAGTTGCTGGGATTTATAGTTCGCCTACAATCAAAGAACATTCTGAACCCCACCAATGATGGAACTGAACCAAACTTGGCACACAGTTCTCCCATGACCAACAGAAAATACTGGAAGGGTTTGGTGAGCAGTGTCCTTGGTTTTGGAGTTGTAGTTCACCTACATCCAGAGATCACTGTGGACTCAAACAATGATGGATCTGGACCAAACTCTACACGAATACTCAATATACCCAAATGTGAACATTGGTAGAGTTTGGGGAAAATAGAATCTTGACATTTGGGAGTTGTAGTTGCTGGGATTTATAGTTCAATTACAATCACAGAGCATTCTGAACCCCACCAACAATAGAATTGGGCCACAGAACCCCTATGTGGGCCACAGCAATGTGTGGCAGGGTACGGCTAGTTTTATATATATAGATATAGATTGACAAGAAGTTCATTTTAATGTTTAGCATGGCGTAGTGGTTTGAACGTTGTACTACGTCCTGGAAACCACAGTTCCAATCCCCACTTGGCCATGGAAAAAAGAAATGCATCAAAACATGTCTTTATTCTGCATGTTTTTGAAACCATTCACCATGATCTGTCCTCAAAAGGAGTGTCTAATTAGAGGCCCTTTTGCATATCTCAAAAGTTGGTCAACGTGTGTGTCTGTTGCTATGGGGAATCTTTGTCAAGGGCAATTAATTGCATTATGCAGAACAGAATGGGACCTTGCAATACGCGAGGTGTTGCATTGCAAAAGCCAATCTAATATTTCCTAATATATCTTTTACCTTGGGCGGGGCCCATCCAGTCCACCTTTGCTCATCAACCGGAATCAGCAATATTGGTTGCGATTGCCTGAGGCAAGAATACTATTTACAGAAAGAGGCAGGGAGACTATATAAAAAGACCCGAGATCACACCTAAAGACATACACCAGCAGTCTCTGCAGTCACAGACTTCTCGGGCAGAATTTGGGGGTAAGTCTGAAATATTTTAAGTTCTGATGGATAGGACTGGGAGAGTATATCAACTTGTTTCTCTTACTTCCTAAAAACAATGGAGATTATTGGCTCCAAATTTGGCATTGTTGAATCGGTTGCAGGGGCGGCTCATCCATTACGCGAAGTAAGCGGTCGCAGAACACTTTTTTTGCCAGGGGTGCAGAGGCGTCTCTGTAAATGCCCCTCGACCGCCACTTGAGGAGCGCCCCCTCAGCTCACAACAGCCCTAGCAGTCCGGGGGGAGCCTCGGCTTTCTTACCTCGCTGCCGGGCGATCCTCTTCCCAAAGGGGCCGGGCCCTTGAGCCTCGCCTAGCCCCTCTCATTCCTGCTCCACCCGGCCACCGGGTGCGCGAGCAGAGCCGGCGCTCAATCGTTCTCCTTCGATCCCTTCCCCATGACCGGCTCCCTTTCCTGATCCCCCGGTGCTCCACCCGCCTCCTCTCCTCTCCCCAATCCGCGGGTGGGCCAAGGGGCGGAGCCGCCACGCCTGGCCTGCTTCGGGTCCGGAGGCATGTCTGAAGACCCCAGCGTGCGCACCAAAAGTCGCCTCTTCTCCTGACTTTCTCTTCAGCCATTGGGACCAAGAGAGAGAGAGAGAGAGAGAGCCCCTCCGGCTGGAGGTATCTCCCACCTCCGCTCCCTCCTTTGTTTTTGCGCCTACCTTCAGGAAAGGTGGGCATCTCCACCTCTCTCTCTCTCTCTCTCTCTTGGTCCCAATGGCTGAGGAGAAAGTCAGGAGAAGAGGTGACTTTTGGTGCACACGCCGGGGTCTTCAGGCACGCCTCCGGACCCAAAGCGGGCCAGGCAAGGGAGCAAGTGCAGCAAGTGTAGTTACTGGGATGTATAGTTCACCTACAATCAAAGAGCATTCTGAACTCCACCAATGATGGAATTGAACCAAATATGGCACACAGAACTCCCACGACAAACAGAAAATATATATCAATGATTGGTTGTGGGGGCGCCAAAATACTGTTTGCTTACCGTTGAAAATTACCTAGGTCCGCTTCTGATTGGTTGGATCAAGAGTTGGAGAACATGAGATCTTCCAGATGTTGTCAAACTGCAGGTCCCATCATGGAAAAATTTATAGATTTCCACCTATTGGTGGACCTGGATTCCATCATACATCAAAAACAACTCGCATAGCTATTTTTGAGGTATGATGGAACCCAAGTCCAACAACAGCTGGAAATCCACAAATTTCTCATTCCTGTTTTACGGGATGGAAAATTTATAGATTTCCAGCTATTGGTGGACCTGGATTCCATTATACATCAAAAATAACTCAGATAACTATTTTTGAGTTATGATGGAATCCAACTCCAACAATAGCTGGAAATCCACAAATTTCTCATTCCTGTATTAAGGGAATGGAAAAATTATAGATGTCCACCTATTGGTGGACCTGGATTCCATCATACATCAAAAATAACTCGGATAGCTATTTTTGAGGTACAATGGAATCCAACTCCAACAGTAGCTGGAAATCCACAAATTTCTCATTTCTGTGTTAAGGGATGGAAAATTAATAGATGTTGTCCACCTATTGGTGGACCTGGATTCCATCATACATCAAAAATGACTCAGATAGCTATTTTG